CTGTCTTACTGCCCATTTTGTCCACTAATGGGCTAAAAAAGTTATTACACTTGGCTGTTGCTTTTGGCCTTATACATAACCAGCCTTGTCGTTCCTCTCCTTACTATTTTCCAATGGTCTGTGTTTTAGTCATTCACAAACTCTCTCCGTCTCACATCTTTCTCTTCCATCCTCACAATCACTTCCTTCAACCACAAGTTTTTGGCCTTTTTCCTTCTCAAGCTGAGCCTTCAAGTGGCAGAGAGCTGTTTACAGCCTAGCGCTATGGTTGCACTGTCAATTAATCCCGGAGCTAATGTGCCATGACCATTCTCTAGCGAGGTCAGCACAACAAGTGAGAGCAGCACACATCTGATCAGGTCAGGCAAGTAACATGAGACCCACTAATCCTACCACACCTTCATTGCAACATTTCTTAAATTTTTCATAAAAAGAATGGAGTCCCCATCATTAATACAGTCATTGCCGGTTAACGTCGTCGCATATCGTCGTGGCCTCCCAAAAGTGGCGCCTGCTGGACCACCCTCCACAACCCCTGGCGGAGATGAACTCTTTTTATAATATGTATGTAACCATGCCCCAAAGAAAATAAAAATGAATAAAACAAAAATTAAAACATACAACATCAGAGACATACCACAAACCGTTCCATTACATACAACACGCACATATACCAAGTAAAACTGACACCTACCAACACATATTCAAACAAAAAGACACGGGCTACAAAAGACAATAAAAAAAAAAAAAAACAATCACAGAGAAACTAGTCACCTGACCGGTTATTTCATCTGACTGTCAGTAACTCACTATCATATCACTCACTCATACCATAATTCATCCCAAATAAAACAACATGAAAGAAGAAACCAAAATACCAAGAACAGAAGAACACAAGAATAACAAGAAAAGAAGAAACAAGAACATCAGATTAGTTGTAGCAAGAAAGAAGACCAAGACTAGAAGAAGAAATCAGCTCCGGCCGAAATAGCCCAAAGGCGAAGTGGCCAGCAATCCCCAATACAAATACAAGATCTCTCTCTCTTTCTACCTACACCAACCAACCAGCCAGCAACACCTCCTCCTCCGCCTGCCTGGCGGTCCTCGCTCCCGCCGGCGAGCATGGCGACCCATACCCCACAAGACCACTAATTCCTCACCCCAGAGGAGAAAAGTTTATATACAGTGGATGACCTGATATTGCATCAGGTTAGCTGAGGTTAGACAATGTTTTTTATGTTTTCTACTTATTCTTTTATTTCTTTATATGATACCTCAAAAGTTCATACCTATCTCTTATTCTTGTTCTATTTATTCATACAGTCACAGAGGGTATAGATAGGTGGAGGAGTAGAGAGTGGTAGAGGCAGGGTGTGGTGGGGAAGTGAGGGTTGATATGGTCACTTTGTAGTGGATTTCTCCCCTACAAACGCTTTTGTCACCGAGTAGCCGACCCCGTGAATTCCCCAGTGTATGCCTCGTGGTCTGGGTCAACCAGCGCCGCCTTACATGACGGAGGTCAACTACTAAGCCACGCCAACCCCCGCTATTTAAGACCTGACCTCGTGGTGACCTGCCTCTTTCTACCTACACCAACCAGCCAGCAACACCTCCTCCTCCTGCCTGGCGGTCCTCGCTCCCGCCGGCGAGCATGGCGACCCACAAGCTGTCCTCCTCTGAGCACCCTCACCAACCAGCTCTCTCTACATCACGCTTGTAACCATGCTGCCTTTCCAGCACCAAGCTGCATTGTACATCCAATACAACATGTATACAGAGAGCACATTGTGAGTTTCCTTTCTCCAACCATCCTGAGTGTGAACCCAAACATCCAATACACCACAACTTCCCCCCTTGTGCTCCCTCATAAGGGGGTTATAGGGGAGCACAAGGGATGCTTGTCTTTACCCCATTGTAACTTAGTGTATGCGCCTGGCTGTTGCTGCATTCACCAGTGTTTTTATTTATTCATTATTATATTCTCATATGATCAGCCTATTATGGCGTATGTTTCACCATAAATTATATATAACATACAGTATTAAATAATAGAACAAAATATGGTACCTGTAGTAAAGTACAGTACAGTATATAATTTGACTTCAAAATAAAAGACAAGCCAAACAACAAGGAAACCTCTTCCCTGACCACTCACCCCCTCCCTCCATGGTTTATATTTCTTCATAAATAAAGAATATATTAAATAATAAAAAATATAAACGATATACTGTAATTTGTAATGACTTCAGACTAAAACAACAAGCTTAATCAGTGTTGGTGGAGTGATGGTATGAGAGCAAACATTATCAGGAGTGTAAACGCCACCGCCAAGCTCTCACAAAGCCTATTTTACGCCTCAACAATTTAAGGAGAATCCAGTGACCCTGCCACTCTGGAGATTGGTAATGAAAACTGAAGTCGCTTTACAAGTGTCTGCAGTTGATTTTGAAGACTTTGAATCTAACTAAGTCTCAAACCCTGCAAGCACCCCCATCGTTTACCAGAGCTTCCCACAATTCCACTATTCAGTGGAGATGGTGGAGTATGGGGAAATATTTAAATTGTGCTATAAGTCACTTGATATTCTATCTCATAAGTGATGTAATTCAAAACATATTATGGGATTATGCAAATATAAAATTACACTATTTTCATTTATTAACAAAATAAACTAACATTTATACCAAAGGAGACGGCTAGTTATTGTGGAAAGTTTCACTATTAGATGCACTTAACCTTACCTCCTTGGTCAATTCACTTAAAAACTTCTAAGGGTTATTTCGCTAAGGTCCAAACGTCTCGCAACTAATGTTGGAGAGCTCAGGGTTGTGTGGCACGACCTCTCTCTATGAAGGCGTCTCACAAACGTCTGTTAAACATATGGTTACATATCTGAGGCACTGCTCCTCCCTGGAAGTATTGGTGACTTTGTACTAACAGTCACCAGCAGCTTGGCTGGCCATCTCGCCTGGCCAGAGCTGGTCATAGCCCCGGGCCACATGGGTCAGATTCGCTTCAAGGTCTTATCAGTGCCAGGACAGTAATGGAAATCTGTTGCATGTTGCTACAGCTGAAACCAATTACAGGCTAGCAACCTCTGTCACAATCAAAATAACAGTAAATGCCTCTCTCAGTCAACAAGTTATATTCACTAATTTCCACAATGAGACCTCACTGTATTGTATGTATTTATGTGCATGAGCACACATCCATTTGCACAAACCTATATACAGTATGTATAAAAATACACATGCACTTATGTTACAGATACAGGTATCTTTTACCTAACAAATGGGCTAGGTTCCCGAAAAACTATTTGTTATTTGAATTTTCGGATCTTGAACAACAGAACATATGGGAAAATAGGGTTCGGTTCCCCAATGCCAAGAAAACCCCATTATCTTGACCCAAAACCATGAAATTGATTCACAAACAAAAATAGTACCCAACTACTGTAATTTACTACCTAATACATTAAAAACATTACAAAAATACAGTAAACATTGGTGAGGAGGAATGGGCTGAGAAGTGAGATGAGGATGGCTGTCCACCTCATCACTGGGGTCCGACTAATTACCCAAATGTGGCCGCAATTAAGTCAAATAATGGTCCTACATGAATAAATCGGACTGCCAATCACTTCTTGACTAGTATTTGGTGTCACAAAGTAAAAAAAAATTGGAAAACGTAATTTAATCTGAGTTAATAGATCGAGTGTATGTACCTAACCTAACCTAACCTCGACTAGTATTTGGTGGCACGAAGTCACAAAAAATGGGTAAACTTAATTTAATCTGAGTTAATAGATCGAGTGCATGTACCTAACCTAACCTAACACAACTCAGATTAAATTAAGTTTACCAATTTTTTTGTGACTTTATGACACCAAATAATAATCGAGAAGTGATTCACGGCCCGATTTACGCTTGTAGGACCATCGTTTGACTTCATTGCGACTACATTTGGGTAATTACTCGCTCCCTCGGTACATGCACGCAATCTATTAACTCAGATCAAAGTAAGTTTTCCAATTTTTTTTTACTTTGTAACACCAAATACTAGTCGAGAAGTGATTGGCAGTCCGATTTATTCATGTAGGACCATTATTTGACTTAATTGCGGCTACATTTGGGTACATTTGGGTAATTAGTCGAACCGCATCACATCACTGCTGTCAACAAACTTAGATGTTTTCCTATCATTGTAAGTCCCTTGCTACATTCATGACTTATTACTTCCAGCTTGGTCTGAAGAGTCGCAGCCTTTAGTATCTTCTTCGGTGTAGCATAGGAAGCTGAAGAATCAACAGAACGCATTGATGCCAAGATGAAAAGAATAACGAAAGAATGGCACAAATACACATGGATGAAGAAATAGTGGAAGGAAAGATGCAGGCTTGTTGGAGATGCAGGAGGAGGGAGGTTTGTTACGATCAGTGAATGAGAATACAGTAGGTCTCTGCACATCTCCAAAATGGCTGCCCCAGATGACTCCCAGGGGCATGTGATTTAAATTTTAGCCGGGATCCAAATTTGTTAGGTTGTTCAGTTAGGTTCCGTTGTTAGGTTAGGTTAGCTAGGGTAGGGTAAGTTAGGATTAAGTTAGCATCAGTGAGGTTAGTTAGGTTAATGGACACTACAGTGTAAATAATCCAGTAGACCAACTCCAGCTTGGTTGACTACATACTATAGTAACACCAGAAAAACAAAGTGAAGATAACAAAGACACAGTATCAGTAAATATACAAAATCACTGTAGATTACTCCACTATTAACGACTATAGTACATGAAAACCTTGAGAGCAAAGCCTTGAACAATGAGGAAGACAAGAAAAATGCACATCTAGAGAATAGAAAATAAAAGTTATGTTACAATACAGCATTAGCAAAACTTTACATTCCAAATCATGCAAATGTTCACAGCAGTCAGGTGGACTCCCCAGTTTATATATTTAAATCATTCTAAGTTCAATTTGTTCAATAAAACAATGTACAAAGATATATCATTGATTAATATTTATTTTAGTTTTATTCTTTCAATGCAAATATGTAAATTGCAAACTTTAGGCTTTAAACAGAATTTACTTACTGTAGTTATAAAATGAAAATGGAGATTATTTCTTAAAAATTTCAACAGCATACATATATATATATATATATAAGAAAAATGTCAGAGTACAAGTTTTACTCAATGCATTATTACACTGAAGTATAAGCAGAATAAGTGATCAAAGAGATAAATACACGATACGTCTTACATGACACTATACAGTAAGTGTCTTTGATTTAAGTCATAGATTATTTGTCAAGTGGAATTGAGTCATTAACATGGCCTGACTCACAATACCAAAAGAACTATGGGTAGGATATATGCACTGGCACTGGTTGATTAATTACAGTACTAATCTAATCAATGGGCAAAATGTCTCATAGAGTGAGCATAAGAACTCATCATCTGTGTCATGTAATGGTGATATGCCTTTGGTATTTATAGCAATATTAGTGTACTTAAAAAAAAATTAACCCGGATTTAAAATGAAGACTAAGAAAGTCTGAATTTGTGCTACCAGTGACCCTTTGCAAAAATCCACCAAAACCACCATAACAGAGACAACCAGTCATAAAAATACAGTACTCTATAGTGTATACAACTTACAATAATCTCAGTTAATTGCAATTACTAAACTATCACTGAGACAAAATAATGAATAGGCTGCTATCCTCATAACTACCTCATGAGAGCTACATCTAGGTTTAAGTCAGATAGTTAAAGAAACATCAAAAAAAGCATTTCAATCACAGCCCTTTTTAACACATATTCATAGGTAGCACAAAATATTTTATTAATTCCCTCTCCTTACAGACTTCAATAGCTAATTTTAGTTTTAGTTTAACAAATTTATTGACAAAGCTTGGAGTACAGTTTGCCTATTCTGAGTAATTCAGTCACGTTTTGACACTGAGGGTGGTATCACTTCTCACTGCCACGCAGGACAGAGTAGCTAAGACAGAATCTACTTACCAAACTTTGATTATAACGATCATGTCAGCATCACTCCTTTACATACAATACTTATATGTGCATAACAACTTCTCATGCATAAGTACATACTCAAATCTAGAATCCTAAAATAATATGTACAGCTGTAGTATTTAGTCCAACATTATAATATGCTCTACGTTTGTAAGAGAGTGCAACTCACGTGTAGTTATGCATGTATGCACTCACACACATAAAGTCTATTCTACAGAAAAGAGAAAAACACAAACAATAATAAGACACACAGCACAGTTTCCTAAGTATGAACTAAAGTATAAGACAACTGAGTCGTTGGCTTTGGTTACTCATGAAAGTACAGCAGTAAAATGTCAAGAGTTAGAGTACAGTACAGTATTTGGTTTTCCTAACTTCTACTCTTATTCCTACATGCTTTCCCCTTTTATAAACTTAATTCCTCAACTTTTATACCTTTCATCCCACAATCTAACAGCTGAATCCCAATAAGTGACCTAGTTTCATTTATATGGTCCTAAGCTAATGTGCTAGGTTTCAACAAATATCTACTGTATGTACAGGTAAACCCCGAGATGCAAAATTTCACTTGAACGATGGTTATAAATTAACACCATCTCCCAATATATGATCAAAACAACTCGCTTTAATGATAGTCATTGGTCAGAATTTTTTCTCTCGTGCAAACTATGGGTTGTTTATACTGAAATTAATAGCCGTCTTACAAGAATTCCAGCAATGCAAATTACATTTTTCTACATCAAGTCAGTACCATTTTATAAGAAAATGATATTTAACCCTATGCACCATACATCTCTACCTTCACTTGTCAGCCTACCCACACGCTGCCACAAGGCCAACCCACACACTACAGCCCTGTGTCTGGTTCTTTGTCGAGTGTAAAACCCACTATCTCATGATTCCACGATTATTGGCCAGCATCGTACATTGTACTTATCATCGGTGATTTTTTTGTTTTTGTTTTTACTTATACAGCAAGAGAACAGCACTAACATTTAGATTGAACTGTCTTATAGTGACTGTGAAGTGATATTTTCTGTGACTGTAAGGTGCGCCGACTCTGTTGTTTTGAAAATGTTAGCAGTGTCGGCCACTATCGTTGTTTTTGGTAAAATTGTTCGCTCAGTTTATTTGACAAGTGCTTTTGTTCTGTTTTTGTGAAGTGAGCAGTGTAACTTTGGAAAAGTCTGGGAAATCCAAGGCATCCAAGACAACCGTGTCTCTGAGATGAAGCTTGACATTGTTAAGCAGCATAAGACTCCCCAGAGGCTGTGTAAGAGTCAGAGTGACGTCTCCACTCTACCAACAAGAGTCCCCTTAGCCTCGAAGGGGACTTGTGATGATGACCATAATTACGATATTTCACCTAGCGATGGGTTTTCAAGAACGTAACCCCATCATATCTCGGGGGTTGCCTGTACTTCTGTTGATCCCCTGTAACAAAACTATATAAATGTGGGGATGCTGCTACCAGTGGCTTTCTTCAGAAAAGTACGAAATAGCAAACATGATAAATAAAAGCCATAAAATGAAATAAATGTTGAAATGACACACACAGGGATAAAAGTAGACATACTGTATTTACCAAACTATATTACAAAAACTATCCTTTGATAATAATCTCTGACAGACACATGATATTCTTCAATGAAAAGAAGCAATCATGCTTCCCTGACTTGATACAGTACTTAAAATGTATGGAAAAATGGTGCCCATGGACCAAACTAATGGTGTAGAAAAGAAAAATAAGAAACATTAATGAAAAATAAACTGAAACAGTGAAGCAATACTGTATAGCAGGGTTTTCTTTTAAAGTGCATCTGTAATTAGTAGTATTTTTAAATTCTCTCTTGTTTTCAATCATTTGATATAAGATAATATACGCATATAGCTGGAAATAAATTGTACTGCATATTCTCAATTATTTGTTATTACTGTACGTCCTTTTAAACGTAGCATTTCATCTGGACTTTTGTCAACTTGGAAAATTGTTACTGGACATTCACTAATAGGAATTGAATAACCCTGCTTTCGTGTACTGCATCTTGAAGATAGTACATAGCTCATTAGGTTAGGTTAAGTTGGACTAGGTTTGGTTACATTAGGTGAGGTTACGTTGGTTTTAGGTTATGTTTGGATAGGTTAGGCATCTTAGGTTTGGTAAGATATAGATTTGGTTAGGTAAGGTTAAGCTTCTCAGATTTGGTTAGGCTTCTTAGGTTAAGTTAGTTACATTAAGTTGATTTTATATTAGGTAATTTGTGATTAAATTTTTACAAATTGTCCCATAATTTATAAAAAAAAATCCCCGAAAAAAATAGACAAATTGCATTAAAAATCAGACAAAAATTCTGTTTTGTTTTTTTACAAATTTGGTTGATTATTTTTCACATAACACTTTAAAATTTTTCCAAATACAGTATGCATGAACATATTCCACAAAATGCCCAACCTAAAACAAACCTAACCTAAGCTATCTTAACCTAAATTAACCTAGTAAGCTTTAACCTAACCTAATCAAACAAGGTAAGCTATCTCACCTAACCTCCCAAAATTCACAAATTGCCTAGAGGAAAGGTGCTGGCCAGTATAGACATAACCCACTACACACATGACTAGATAATAATAACTTAACAACTGGCAACCCCCTCCCCTCTCTCTCTCTTGTAGTGTAGTATCACTATACTGTACCTTTATTCTTTGGAAATACTGTATGAAAGAAAGTTTATCGATCAACCTAGTGGGTTATGAGTTAGTCACATCCACAAGATAATTAGTGTTTAAATATGAAGGACTGGCAGTGATGAAAACTCTATAGTATTTCAATTCTTCGGCCAAGTGTCTTTATACATAGTACTGTACTTTATTATAGATCAGCAAAGGAATTACTGTACTTCACATGCTTGAGCTCCAGACTGTCAATCATCAAAACCCCTACCAAGGTTGTTAAAATGGTACATTTTAATTCACATTGAATTCTAGTTAAAATTGCAGATGTGAATTCCATGAATACTGAGGTCTACCTATATACAGTCCAGGTATCCCTGAGTTTCAGAAATTTACATTACAGTACAGTAATGCAATCTGAAAGGTACAGAATGAGTTTAGAGATATGGAAGAAAAATTTGCATTAATGGAATATCCTCGAAGTTTCTAGAGTTAAAAAATATGAGGATTTTGTTTTTAAATCTTGTTAAATTACATAATTTCAATAAACAAAAAATAAATTAAAATATACAGAACTACATACTGTATAAAGACATTTAGTCTAACTGTAAACTAAAATGACATACTGGTACTGAATATTACTGGACTGTACAGGTAAAAGTATTATAGCCATCTTGGCTGACAGGAATAGCACAGGGAGGCTGACACAGAACTGGGTGGGTGGCAGCACTGTGCCACTTACTCACAGTAGCATTTTTTTTTTTTTTTTGAGTTGTGATGTTTTATGACTGAGAAGTTGCTGTTGTCCTATTTGGCCTTTGCTGACTGTATATTACATGTACTGTATTACTTGTAACTATGTTAATTGGTGGTTAACTTTTATTTTAAGAAAAGCAAAAAATTAGCTTATGATTTCTTACCAAAGCTAATGGATGAGGTGATCGATTAATTTGAAGTTTAGGGATGTCATTTTATTTAAAACTAACCTCCCAAATGTAACCTACTGAATTGGCCTCTTATTTCTCTTCAATACCTCCATAAAAAAAGAGAAGTACTGTACCTGTACTGTAATATGTTAATAGTACACAGTTTATAAACAATATATTATTTTTTTTTTAATTAAATGTACTGTATACTGTACTTGAAAACTCTTCAGTTAATAGGTTTTGAGTTATGGACAACATTTTAGGACTTGAGGGATCACTGCACTTATTTGTGGCAAACAAAATATACTTCCATGACTTGATACAGATGGACAAGCTTAGATAGTGTAAAGAAATAATGCCTCCATGGACTGATATGAAAAGATGTGATATAGAGCGAAAGAGGTGATGGCCACACGCTGCAACTCTCACAACAATGTCATTTATCAACATAACATCTAATTTTTATGACTGAAATAAAGAGAACATAGTTTTACAATACAGAAAAAACATTAGAACATGGATTAATAACGTGATTTTCCTTTTTGTTGTTGTAACTAATATTTTACACTTTCTACATCAAGGAAATTATTAAACTATAGTTCATGACAGTGATAGTAAGTTCCATATTCCCATTACTAATCACCAATAACAAACATTAGCCGTGACAGCAAGTAGAAAAAATAAATAAACTGAAATTAATCTTAAACAGTACCACAGTCTGTACAGATTTTCTCTTAGCAGAATGAGCTGAGACACATGACACATTCACTCAAAACACAGCAAAGAAAAACTGTTCCCGATGGCACGCTCACACCTTCCTTTTCAAAACCTTTATCTATGAACTCTCAGCTACTGGAACAACACAATACATGTGTATAAATAAACTCTTAATAACTTTATAAGAACACTGATCACTGAAAGATATAACAAATATATCAAATTCACGTCCAAAACAAATTTGTTTTTAAATACTAAATACAATACAGTACTCTCAAGCCTAAAACAGTATTAGTAGAAGGAAAGTATGAACACTATGGAAGAAGTGGCCAGCTAATACAATAAGAACACCTCCCCCTCCCCCCCAAAGAAGATATGAATAAATGCAATAAATAAAAGACTTGGAAAAAAAGGCATCAATAAGGTATACTGTACACATGTTTGAACTAAGAAGAGCAGTACTGTATACTGTATTATGGAAACTCAGGCCCAAATGGCTAGCTCTACAGAGACAAGAAAGCCAGCCATTAGAGAAAGAGAAGAAAATAATACTCTTTAATAGAAAACAATACAACGATTACCATACAGTATGGTAATACATGATGTACTAAATGTACATAGTAACTAAAATATATTTCACACTTCTACATCAATGATCCTGAGAAATTTATTCCCAATACCTCATGATAAGAAAGTGAGCATCTGAGGCTGTACAATAATGATAAACACCTGGACAGTCAATATACTCTTCCTTCATTATCACATGATATAAACTGAAGCTCAAGATCTACAATAATAGTACAAATATCCTTTAAACTACGCGGATTTAAGCATCACGACCTGCGCCCCTCCGCGGACTGCACTACAGGTTGCATGGGGGCAAAAGAGGTTGTGTATGCACGTCTGACATATCCACTACTGGCTGCGAGTGTGTTGCCCTGAGTGCTACGGAGTGTTGGCAGCAAGACACTCCATCCCAGAGACTCAGAATATGCACCCATGGTTTTCATATTTCTTATTTTATAATTTTATATTATATTTTGTTTATATCTAAGTCACATTAGAGTATTGAAATAACTTTTACACAACTTTTACAGTTTCATTATATATAACAATGGCAACATGCATTACCATCTCTCGCAGGTCACAGCTGACTGACATGTCAGCCAGCTGCCTCCGGACACACTTCTCAGAAAAATGGGCGTCTTCAACAATTATTCGACTCTATAAAAACAATGTGGTTTAAAAATAAAGAAAATATAATAAATAACTATAAAATAAGAAAAATGAAGAGCATGTTTGTGTGTGTGTGAGAAGTGAACGTGTGTTAGGAGTGAAGCCAAGAATATCAAAAGGGGGGTCCAAGAAGTTGTGGGTGAGGGAACAAGGAGAGCACAGTGAGCCCACTCAGCTAGGGGGCTGGGGGGGTGCTGTAAGTTGCCCTCAGAATTATTTTTTTAAATCTGACCAATATCATGGGCATTTTGAAGCCATGAACACCAGATATTATTAGATATTCTGAGGTCAATAGTAATTATTTTTTATTATACCAAAATGCCTGAGTACAATACTGAATTAAAGAAAAAGTATTGAAATTTTCTGATGGAAAGGGGAGGTCCGGATCCCCAGGAACCCCAGGTGTGTAGGTGGTGGGCTATAACTACCGTATGTTTCTGATTCACCAGCCTAGCCATCACGTTTATTGTTGGTTTTAATGAAATGTAAAAGTTGTCAAAAAAACCATTACAATACTCTAATATGGTTTAGAAATAGAGAAAATATAATATATAACAAGAAAAAGAAGAGCAAGGGTGTGTATGTGTGGGGTGTGTATGTGTGGGGTGTGTATGTGTGGGGTGTGTATGTGTGGGGTGTGTATGTGTGAGGTGTGTATGTGTGAGAAGTGAATGTGTATGGAGGCAGTTCTAGCCAAGGTCTTGGCTATAAACTACGTGGCCAACTCAGCAGCCTCGTTTATTGTTACCTGTACTTGTAATAAAAGTATAAAAGTTGTGAAAAAATCATTACAGTACTCTAATGTGGCTTAGAAATATGAAAAATATAATATAAAACTATAAAATAAGAAAAATAAATAGAAATATGGGAAGTAAATGTATTATGGAGTGCTTTTTTTTGGGGGGGGGGGGGCAATTATGGCTTCCCGTAAGTGAACATCGCAGTTTTGGGTCTTCACGGGGTGTTTTCATTAACCTAATCCCTGCATTGTTTAAGGGATATGTGTATATCTATTGTTAGTACTGACTACTGAACAACCTACTTCTACATCCATCTCAGTGGTTATATAAAATCCTAAAGGCTCTACACATAACTTATTGAAGAGTAACAAAACAATATATAATAATGAAAAAATGGACAAAATCAAATTGCCTCTCTCTACATTCTCTCGTCTATTAATTGTAACCACTGACTATACAGAACTTAACATAACATAACATAACATAACTGACAGACACATTAAGTGTATCACATTTGTCACATTGTTTTATGGAGTTGAAAGCACCAACTGGCTAACTAGCCATCTGAACATTATACATAATTCAATCATATTGTGTGGACACTGTATATTATAAAGCATTCAAGGGGTTAACAGATTTATATAAAAGAACATATGGATGCCAGGAACTTGTAGTAATTAATTCTGTAATCCAAACTCATACATCTGAGATGTTTCATTTACTTCCACTTAATCGAAATTTATTAATATCCTTAAATGCATACTTTAGGGTATATAAACATATGTATGTACAGTATATGTATTCTACTATAATATACTGTATATTGCATGTAGTATAATTATGACATTTTTTAAATGACCCAACAGGCAGGAAATAAGATGGGCAAGATGAAAAGGTATACAGTATACATATACACACACACACACATGAATATGAATGAATGCATCATTAAGGTAATTAACAAAATTCGACTGTGGTCAGACCTCAGTCATCCATGGACTCAAGATATGCACTAGGAACACGGCCTTTCTGGTTACCACGCTTAGCAATAACAAAGTCAGACGCCTGCCCAGTTTTTTCACAATACAATACAACCTGTCAAGTAAAAAATAAAAATTAGTCAGGCAGTACAGTCCTTCTCCCAATAATTTTAATTTTTTTTTTAAATGAGTGACATCTATACCTGAATTCTCTGATGAAGATAACTCCAGTCATATTTCTATCTTATCTTTTTGGGAATAAAAAACTTCTAACATTCTAGGAAATTTCTACTGCCACACTTAGTGGATTTAAATTCAGATTAAATTTTCCAGAAAACATTGTTTGATACCACTCACCTCATTCATCATAAGACTCATTTCATCTCTGTTTGTTGCATCATAATCACAAACTACTTTTGCCCGCCTCCAAGAGCCTTCTTCATCTGCATCTTTGGACCCATTCTCTTTGGCAGTGGATGAGACTTCTGGAGCAGCAGCTTTAGCTTCCGTGGTTGAAGTAGTTGCTGGTCCAGTAGTGTCCTCAGTATTCAAGGAGAGGCTATAGGCAATAAGAAGACTTTGTTAACATAAATTCTTGGTAAAATAAGAAATAAAAGTTTGATCATGAAAACCCACTTTACAAAAGAACCAGTGAAGAGCGACTTAAGTTTCCAAAGTAAACCCCTAACTTGACAGCCACTGTTCAGAGAGAGTAACTAGAAATCACAATTTGCTCTTAGACATTGGAGTATGATGGATCATAATGTTACACAGCTCTCTCTTTCTAATACAGACTGCAACTCACTTGACAATATCATATACCGTATTGGGTTCATAGCACCAACCTCCTCACTCCAAACAACCTCCAAAGACATGCCTTTGTTATAATATGAATTATAAGGACCAAACCCTTGCTTTATGACTGACGTGCGCCGACAAAACTTAAGTGTTATTAATGAGATGTACGGTAGTTCAATTTCCACATCTCCAAATTGATCAGATTATAAAAAGCAATTACTGTATGTATAAAAGCATCCACTGATTAAAAATGCCATTGAATAAATAACCCATTGCATAATTTCCAGAATTCTGGCCAAATTTACTCTCATTTTGTTTTGTGGCATCTTTTAGTTCTGTACCCATACTTTGTAGGGTTGTACCCACAAGCTATTTTTGTACTTACAAGCAGAATTACTGAAGGGGTGTCATACTCCCCTGTGTGACATCACTGCCCGTATAAATGAACTAGTGATCAAAACGAATACTGAAAATTACAGTACAGTGATTTCTGCTATAACGCGTGTTTTGATAACGCGAATTTGCTCTAACGCGATTTATGAATTAGGAACGATATTTGTATAACGCGATTTTTGCTTACTATTTCTCCAATTTTGTGGTACAGTGGGGTATGCTATAACGAATCTAATTGGTTTTAGAACCTTGTTCATTATAGCATTCGTTCGTTATAGGATTAATCCGTTCCAGGCCCCCAAATACAACTACTTAACACTGAAAAATATACAGTATTACCCCGCCTAACGCGGTTTCACTTAACGTGTTTTATCATATACGCGGTGCCTCGCCAGAGCTGAACTTTCACTTAACACGGATTTTTTCCACATATACGCGGTGAGTGTCCGGCTCGAGATGCTATTTTTAGATTTGCCCCACCCACCCGCCACCCTGCCTGACTGCCTGTTTTAGCTCATAAAATTCATACAAATTACCCGGCCAGAATATAATTTACATTACTGGAATTCTTATAATTTGGTGATCATTTTGAATATAAACATCATATATTTTGCATTAGACATACAAATTTGAGATAACATTTTTTCTCTGGGTAACTATGTTATCTTTTGTGCAAAATATATGACATTTATATTCAAAATATTCCTGGTCTTACAAGGAATCCAGCAATGTCAATTATATTATCCTAACTTTAGTTTGAGGTATTATTTATTACAAAAAAGTTAAGTATTCTGGTTTTCCCACACATCTCCTTGGGACGGTTGGTGGAGGGTGGGGGGGAGGGAGGGACCGACCGACCATCTGTTACCCCGTGAAGAATATTTTTTTTTTTTATTAACTGAAGATATTTGTTTTAGCTCATAAAATTCATACAAATTACCCGGTCAGAATATAATTTACATTGCTGGAATTCTTATAATTTGATGATCATTTTGAATATAAACATCATATATTTTGCATTAGACATAAAATTTTTAGATAAAATGTTTAATCTGAGTAAGAATGTTATCTTTTGTGCAAAATATATGACGTTTATATTCAAAATATTCCTGGTCTTACAAGGAATCCAGCAATGTCAATTATATTATCCTAACTTTAATCTGAGGTATTATTTAATACAAAATGTTAAAATCTAAATTTTTCACCCACTCTTCTCTTGAAGGGATGATTGGTGGGGGGTGGGGGGGAGGGTTGGGACTGACCGCGCGGTTGGAAGAGGGGGGAAGGCAAGGTGGGGTACTTTGATTGACAGATAGTGTCCTGAAGATTATTTTTTTTTTATTAACTGAAGATATTTGTTTTAGCTCATAAAATTCATACAAATTACCCGGCCAGAATATAATTTACATTGCTGGAATTCTTATAATTTGGTGATCATTTTGAATATAAACATCATATATTTTGCATTAGACATACAAATTTTAGATAAAATTTTTTCTGAGTAACTATGTTATCTTTTGTGCAAAATATATGACATTTATATTCAAAATATTCCTGGTCTTACAAGGAATCCAGCAATGTCAATTGTATTATCCTAACTTTAGTTTGAGGTATTATTTATTAAAATTTAGTGGTTTTCCCCCAAAAATTTCTCAGAGAGGGAAGAGCCGGCAGTGTAGTGTGAGAGGGGGAGGGAGTTGAGTCCATTATTTGAATGGACATTAACTTGGCGACTGTATTTCTCTATTTCTCTTAAGTATTAATTGTGTGCATGTACCATCATAAAATTAAGATGTTATTTTTACTACAACATAGTTATGTGTCTTCAAAAAGTGGAGTTTGGGGGTCGGGCCGGTTTCTATTGGAATTAATCCCATATGTTCTGTTGTTCACTTAACGCGGTCACTTAACACCCTCTGGGTTCTATTGGCGTTAAAGTACAACTGTAATATAAAATTGTAAAAATTGTAAAAAAGTGCATAAATATGCATCTAAACCCCTGAAATAAAGAATATCATTAATATTTGTAATAAAAAAACAATAAATTAGAAAAAAAAAATTTAAATAATGTTCGTTGTAGGAGTTTCGTTCGTTATAGCATTCTCAATTTTATAGGTAAAACCGTTCGTTATAGGAATATTCGTAGTAGAATCCGTTCGTTATAGCATACCCCACTGTATTAACTGTGAATATAGTAAAGAAGAATATCAACAAGAAGCGTTCTGGTGATAGAATTCCTGGTGATGATCGTAAAAGAAAGGATATAACACTTGAAGAGAAGCTCGATTTTATCAACCTCAAAATCACCCTTCTCCCCCATCAAGTAAAGTGTTACATTTACTGTATGATTTCATTATTAGATATGAATGTAACATTTATTTAGACTGTGCTATCCTTTGTGTTAGGCTAACTACTAAATTTTTTCGATTTGGAGTAATCTGCACCTAACCCTATTTTCTCCATAAGCCCTGTTATTTCTATTACGCGATTTTCTATAACACGATATTTTACAAGAACACAATTATCGCGTTATAGCAGAACTACCTGTATACAGTATTTTAACATTCTGGACTACTTCTCATGTGTTCTCAAAAACAACTCCTATGTACACTGCTTGGACCACTTCGTATATGAAATATGTCAAAAGATTTTGCAAAAATTAACATATAAATTTTATTATTCTTTACACTTTTTGCACAAGACAGGAGACACTTAATGAACACAAGGTCTTTCCCCGTTTACTTTTGTTTTTATTTTCTTCGCCACTTATTGGCTGATTGGCTTGTTAGCCATTTGGGCGGTCAGCCACGTCTCTGTTATGCACTGTTAGCAAGTACTGAGCATGCACTGGCTCCTGAATGTATCTGAACCTGCTCCAGTGTTCGTCAGGTCTGGTCTTAAAAGAGGTCACACTCAACGCCGTCACAACACACACTGGCATATTGTTCCAAGAATTCACAATTCTTGCTCCAAAAAAGTTTGCTCTCACAGTTTTCTGGACTTGTGCCTTCTTCAACCTTGAGCTGTGACCCCTTGTGGGGTAGGCGTCCGCCAGTTCCAGGTATGGACACTCGACTGAGTAGTTCCCACTGAGATGTTTATACACTTCAATTAGGTCACCCCTTGCACATCTATAGTATAAACTAGGAAGTTGCAGGCGTTCTAATCTCTCTGGATAACTGAGGTGCCATAGTGCAGGAACCAGTCTGGTGGCCCTCCTTTGGACATTTTCATTCGACTGACAGTCTCTAGCATATCTCGGGGACCAGACGGGGTGACAGTACTTCAGTCGGGGAAGCTCCTTACTCCTGAAGATCGTTACAAGGGGCGGACCGTCTAGATAACTGAACAACCGTCTAGTTTAGTTGCTTGATTCACTTTCTTCTTCCACTGGCCAGAGAACTTCAGTTCATTGTACAATACACACCCAGGTCCTTTTCACATTCAATCTCTATTAATGCAGTATCTTCATCTCATTGGAACATGTGATATGCCTCCTTACTATTGGAATGACCTAGGTGTATCCTCTTACACTTTGTAGCATTGAATCTAAGCAGCAACTTATTCAATCATTCTTGAAGCTGACACAGATCTTTCTGTAGCTCTTCAGTCTGATGCTTGGTTCTTAATTTCCCTGAATAACTTGGTATCGTCCACAAGCATTCGTATGGAGGAGTGTATAGCTTCTGGCATGTCATTTATGAAACAAACAAACAAACAAACAATAATGGGCCCAATACACTGCCCTGTGGTACCCCGCTTGTCATGGGTACATGTACCGATTTTGTGCCATTAATCACCACACACTGCTTGCAATCATGTAAGAAAGTCTCCGATCCACATTAGAACACTCCTCCGAATCTCGTACCCTTCCAGTTTAATTCTTAGCCTTTCATGAGGTAAGCTGTCAAAAGCCTTGACAAAATCTAGGTACTGTACAGAACTGTATATATTGTCAATATTACTGCACTGAGATATGCTAGAGAGTGTCAGCTTATTAAAAATATCCAAAGGAGGGCAACAAGACTGGTGTCTGCACTACAGAACCTTAGTTACCTGGAAAGAATAGAATGCCGGCAGTTGCCTAGTTTATACTAAAGATGGACAAGGACAAGGGGTGACAGCTTAAGGATGAAGAAGCCACAAATTCAGAAAATTGTGAGGGCAAACTTTTTTGGAGTGAGAATTGTATACTCCTGGAACTATCTGCCAGAGAGTGTTGTGATGGCACTGAGTGTGAGCTTATTCAAGATCAGCAACATTGATGCAGGTACAGATACCTTCTGGAGCCAGTACATGCTCAGTATACTGTACTTACCAACAGTGAGTAACAGAGTGTGATCGACCGCCTAAGCGGTAACGAACCGA